GGGGGGGGGGTATGTCTGTAATGTTCTCTTTCTCCGTTGCTATGTGTCTGTAATGGGGTGGGGGGAGCCGCCAACCTCGAACTTAAAACTTACACTCACTATTTTCTTCGAAAACATACGTGAGTTCCACAAAAATTGACAGTTCACTGTCATAAGGTGTTCACTAACAATAGAAAGTTCTCGCGTATGTGCTTTCATTTTCAATCAGCTTTTTGTAAACCTCGGTCATCTGATCGCAATGTTATAAAGCGTTACTCTCTATAGATTGTCATTGAGGAATTAGGTCGATTCCAACTTCAGAAAAATCACTATCAGTCGTTATTTTGAAAACTTCGATTTTATGTTATGTTAGTTCTCAGAAATCAATGATTTAGGATTGAACATGTCTTAATTGACTGTATAAAAACACCCAATTAGCATAAATAGAAAATTCTAATTGCGTCTATTTTTTGATTATGTGAACACCAAATAATACTGTGAAAGTACGAAGTTCAACTTTCTTTTTTTGAAAACTGACTGGATCTCAATTAATATTCAGCCATTTAGGGTACACTGTAAATTAATGTTAATCATGTTCCAGTTATCCATCTTATTTACTGTACGTTTTCACATAAACTTGCGAGAAAACCAATAAATAAAATACAGACTACTGATAACGATATATCAACAAGACTTCAATTACTAAGTCTTTAAAATAAAATTCTCAGAGGATCCTGATCAGTTTTGGAAAAAAATAGTTGAAATTTGTACATATACAGTATTATTTGGTGCTCTGATACTTTAGGAATAGACACACAGGTCGAAAATATCCCATCGGATCCGAGAAAATCCGATATTATCCGACAATCGAATCCGATGGGATGCCGATAGTCAGAAACCGGCGATGTCCTTTAATTTTCGATGTTTTCCGACAGTCGAAAACCGTCGGATACGACAATATCCGATAATGTCGATGTCGTTTGGTCCATTCTTATCAATATTCAAAATACGCTTTAGTCACAGTCTGACAAACAGTGAAGCTATTTTTTATTGCAGAATTCAAGATTAATGTGATTCTTGAAAAGAAATATTTCATATTATATTCATGCAAAATTCTACAATAAGTATTTTATTTTATTTAATAAATTGTTTTTCTTTATTTTAGGTCAATTTGTTCATCCAAACTGAACAGTAAGTATTTTATTTAATTAGATGAATTTTTTCTTTATTTTAGGTCAGTATATTCATCAAAATTGAGCAGTATGCATTTCTTTTAATTAAATAATTTTTTTTTCTTTTTTTTAGGTCAATTTGTTTATCAAAATTGAACAGTAAGTATTTCCTTTAATTAAATAAAATTTTTTTTTCTTTACTTTAGATCAATTTGTATATCGAAATTGGCCAGTAAGTATTTTATTTGATGAAATAAATTTTGTTTTCGTTATTCTACGTCAATTTGTACATCAAAATTTAATAATGAGTACCCATGCCATGAAAATCGGTTTGATTTTACCGATTTTCATAAAATTGATGATTAAATCGCGATTTTTCTGCTGTATTTCTATAGCAACGAGTCAAAAAAATTGTGGATTAGTTGTTAGCTGAATTACGATTTAGCTCATAATTGATAGGCAGTTTTTTTGGCTTACTACTATAGAAATAGAGCAGAAAACTCGCAATTCATTCACCGATTTTGTAAAAATCGGCTAGATTTTGCCGATTTTCATAGAATGGCTATTTATTTAAATAGTTATATAATCTATGAAAAAAATAAAAGGCTGAATAGTAAAGCACCAATTCTCCAGGTAATTAATATCTAGTTTAGTTATAGCATTCCTGTCGGATCATGCACTTTCTGAGATCTTCCGATTGTCGGATCCAACGTCCGACAACTTCCTGTCGAAATCCGATCGAAAAGAATCCGACAACTTTCCGTCGGAATTTGCCAGATTGTCTGAGGTTTCCCGTAGGATCCGACACTCGGATTACTCGTTCTGGGCACAATTAGAACTTACATTTATACGGATTGTGTGAATTTCTACAGTTAATCAAGGTGCATCTAATGCGAAAACTTTGAGTATTGAGAACTAAACTGGCGTAAAAACTGGATAGTGAGGGCGAATGTGGTTCTAATATCCTCATCCATTCTCATCGTGGCCCCTTGATATTAAGAAACAATCTGGTTTTTATTCAAGAACATTTCGAATGAGTCTGAAAGACAAAAATGTCGATCATAGTATTACAATTAAAAGAGGAACGACATTCACTGGGCACTAAATATGCAGCACAAAGAGATCGTTCAATCTTATCTGAACTAACTGCGATCGGAAAAAGATGGCGAGCAGATTATGATAAACAGTGAAGTTTGTGTAGATAATCTTTCCGAAATTGTAGTAAATCTAATCATTTCTAGATATCTTCAAGATTCATTCTTAAGTGTTCACCCAATTCGACATATGTTATCCTTGGAAACTAACTCAGATGTATCGGTATTCTGAAAACATATTCTATTTATGAGATAAAACTTTGATATGAAAAAAAAATACACAGATCAGACGCCCTCTCATTTTTCAAGTGATCTGTCTGTCACTGGCAGGCAGACAGGCTTAGTGGCTTGGTTGGAATTCTGTCGATGATCTTTCTTCCGATGACGTGTACAGAGAAGTTTATATGCTGTTTCTTAAACTATAATAGGGACATTTCTTTTTCGATTTTCTATCTTCTACTGTTGAGATGCATTGGTTTGAATGAGTTTAGCTTTGTCTATTCTCTCTAGACATATAAAAGAGAAAACTTACTTTTCAACATTTGGTGGTGACCATAAGGAAAGACCATTTATGACAACATTGTTCCACACGTGTGCTATACAAGCGTGTCTTGGACCGAATAAACCATGTGATGTTGCTGCAACCATTTCACTTGCACAATCGGTTGTTATTCCAGCTCGTTGTTCAGGCCTAATTTGAAATTTTTCATCAAGTTCAAACATAAGAAACGATTGAATATTGACGGCGAGATGACGTTCAGTAAGTTGTCGTAGAGATAACACGAGTGGTACAACTGTAAATTCTTCATCAAACATATGAGCAGTTAAAGAAATGTAATATTTTCTGGCACCACTCTTCCAGATGTCTGCAGTAAAAGCAACAGCTGGTACACGTTTCAATATAGACTAAAAAAAAGAACAGAATTATATTTTGGTATTAGGGGTGACCCTTTATCTTTACTATCCCTTATAATAAAGGATAAAGATAAATGAATCCTTTACTCTTAAAAAATAAAGATAAATGGATCCTTTATTTTTAAAAAATAAAGATAAATGATTCATTTTCATTTATTTTTTAAAAATAAACGATCATTTATCTTTATTTTATAAAGTAAAAGTAAAGTACTACCCCTATTTGGTATTAGTTTAGAACTTGATGATCGAAAAGTGAAATTATTTCAATCATCCGATCTTTTCCCCTAATGTTTTCTTTATAGATCAAAAGATATTTGTAGAAGAAGCGCAAGTAAATTTGAATAAGAAGTACCTCTTCTCTTCTTTAGTAGTCCGTATTGCGTTCATTGAGAATATCTAACGCTAGGTCCCTGCTCTCTTAATAAAACGAAGAGTTGCTTGTCAAGATGAAGTTTTCATCGCATGAAAATTGTTATGACTAGAAATATTTTGTCATTCATGTGAGCATGAAGAAGAAGCTAAACTTATATAGTAGCCTTTAATATAAACTATTCTTCTTACGGTCATCATCAACTCACTTGTACTTGATCGATATATTCATGGTAGGCATCGCCTACTCTAGAAGCAATGGTGAATCGACTAGGTGGTTCATATCGAGAATCGAATGTTTTAAGTAAATTGACCATGCCGGATTTCATAAATGTAGTAAATGGTAATGAATCATCAATAATACAATCGACAATTGCTTTATCCAGTTCTTTTGTACGAGTTTTTGAGAGAGTTGTTGTAGTATCATTTTTTGGAGCAGGTTTTGGTTTTATTTGAGCTAATTGTGAATCATAAACAGCAGCTGTAATATCATGCTTTGCGAATAGATGACGACGTAGATTAGTTGCTGATCCATTGTTTGCCACATATACCTATCAAAGTAAAAAACAAATGATGAAATATTCAATTGAAATAATAGTCGAAACAAAAGAGACAAGGAAAAGCAAGCGAAACTGTTATCAATATATGTTTAATATTTGTTTATTTGAATAGACGCGTACTCTTCTGAACGTTTTTGACTTGATTTTTCGAAAAGACTCAGTTTATCGAAATAATTTTATTCGAAATGACAAAATATACTTTTTTAGTCGAAGTCATTATTTTTTCTTTAGATAAAACTACTGCATTGAACAACAGAGTTGTTCTCTATTTAATTTCCGTTCTTGCTAACGGCTATTGAAAGTATCTTCCTACGTTATTTTTAAGGAGAAGATAGAAATTACCTGATGACAAGTATTGCAGTTGTATTTACCGTCAGATCGAAGAGTAAAGTGAGATAGGACGGCATCCTTCTTCATTTTACCTGATCGAGTCGTAGTACTAATGTTTTGCTTGTGATGTTGTTCATCATCAGATGGACAGTCAAAAGGCAATGAATGAGATGGTAATTGAGAACGATTGAGTGGACTGGATCGAGGAATAGGTGAAAGAGAAAAATGTACATTTTC